CCGCGCTGTCGCGGCCCACGGTTTTAAACGGCTTAAAAGTGTGGGTACCGCAGGCGTGTCCTTCGGTGACCAAAGGCTTAAAAGGCCTTCGGTAACCAAAGCTCAAAAGGGCGGGTACCGCAGGCGTAGCCTTCGGTGACCAAAGGATCAAAAGAGTGGGCACCGCAGGCGTAGCCTTCGGTGACCAAAGGATCAAAAGAGTGGGCACCGCACGCGTAGCCTTCGGTGACCAACGGCTCAAAGGGTGGGTACCGCACGCGGTGCCTTCGGTGACGAAAGGCTCAAAGGGCGGATACCGCACGCGTCGCCTTCGGTGACCAAAGGCTCAAAGGGCGGGTACCGCACGCGTAGCCTTCGGTGACCAAAGGCTCAAAGGGGTGGGGACCGCACGCGGTGCCTTCGATGACGAAAGGCTTAAACGGGCGGGCAACGCACGCGTGGACCTCGGTGACCAAAGGCTTAAAACGTGGGTGCAGCAAGGCTTGTAAAGGTAATTAAAGTTATCAGGTTCGTTAAAGCACTTAATTCTTGAAGCTTAGTAAGGAGTAAAGCTGAAGGTGGGAACTGGGAACCGGTTTAATAGGCGAAGGTTTAAGGGGCTGCAGAACTTGATGATCTGGCAGTCCTGGCTGATTTGGTAGTTGTGGATTTGGTAGTTTTGGCAAATTGGTAGATTTAGCTAATTAAGTGAAAGTTTGCTACGGTGCTAAGGTTTCAAAAGCGTCAGCAATGACAAACGATTAAGGCAATAGGTATCAAAAGCTGAAAAGGCTCAAAAGGCGTAAGGCGTATTCTGGCCAATCAGGAAGATTTGGAGGCGGGAGTGTGACGCACAGACAGCTCTGCCTTAATATAATGAAGAGATAATTAAGATAAGATAGGAAGATATTATAAGATTAGTTTAAAAATTTGCTTCAAGCTTATATGAAACTTCCTTTTTAATCCCAATACTCCGAATTAGGCAAATGATTTAAAGCAGATTCATTCCGCGCAATTTGCGTGGGGTCCACTAGTTATTTCATAATTTCATTGAAATGTCATATGTACGAGGGTTGGTAGTTATGTTATGTTGTATTAGTTTTATTTATTCCTTGATTCATGCAATTATTATATTATTTTCATATTACTATTACTAAACTTCTAAGGCATCGTTTTCATCTGTTGCCAGATTTGTAAGTATGATACAAAAAAAGTTATAAATTTTTTGAACGATGGCATCTTGAAAATTTCGTTTAATTTCCTTATTTTTTGTTATTTCGTTTCTCTGCAACGAATCTTTCCAATTCGGAAAAATTTTGAACCTGTGCAGGATCAAGCTTATCGAATATTTAGGTTACAGGAATATCCAAACTATAGATTAAGCAAAATAAATTTTGTATTATTAAAGAGGCTTTTAGTTTGGGTCCGTCGTGGTGCCAATTACACCAGTCGACCAACTCCCGCGTTTTCTCAAAGAAAGCTGTCAAGGTATTTGCAGATTACTGTATACGGCTGATAGTTATTTCACGCCCGAAAAGGCTTTTCTAAATAATTGCACAGCTGCGAGGCGCACCAAGGCAAACGTTTCTCGGGGTGCTTTGTGGCTCTTGGCCTCACACTCCATTCACAAAATCCTATTCTGTTCTGCTGCTTCCACTAAATATCGTGGTAAGGAAACCAGGATCTGTCATGAGTGTAGACTAAGAAATGATGGCTAAATCAAAGAAGTTCGGCTTTGCTAAGGAACATTAAATGCAAAAACAAAAGTAACCACTAGTCAACAAAAGTGGGGCCCGACGGTACGCGCCCTTGCAGAAAATCCAATCAACGCGCAATATAGAATCCGTTACTGGGGCTCTGGCCTACACTTCCTTATCTATCTACCAGACAAACACATTTGGGGACTGGTGTCTGCAGAACGCCAGAGCATGGCGTGCTGTTTTAGGTTCCTCAATAAACCGACTGTTCCGATCTCCTGGCGCCATTCCTCGTTAAATTTCCAGGATAAAAAGAACAAAACACCCGCTAAGTAGCTTACGCAGAAAAATATTTAGTCACCAACATAACAGGCGCTTCAGATAGTTACTGGGTTGCGTTCCGCTTTTTAAAAAAAAATTTAATGTGAAATAGGGCATAAATGCGCCATTTGAGTTCGGGCATAAATGCGCCATTTTTAATTGTGAATTAAATTTGGTGCGAGTGAGTCGTGCTCTTACTCACGCTGACTGCCACCGAGAGCGGTCATTGACTCGGCCATTAGCCTACTATTACAGTTATGATATGCTCTACTTTTTAAAATTATTTCATATTTTTACTTTCATAACTAATACTGTATCGTCGGCTCAAGATGGCACTATTTTTTACAGTGCTGCAAATTTATGCTATACAGCCCCATGCGCCGTGCAAGTGTGCACTAAACTGCTTGCACAGTGTCAGACATCCTATCGGGGCGGTTGGAAGCGACTCCCGTAAAAAAAACGACTGACCGTATAAAACGGCCATTTTCATATTAGGGTGAGTTAGCGGTAATGCTGTTTGTTTTCGCTGCAAATTTTTTCAAACTAGATATGAGTCATATGCGGAGAAGTATACGTTCAAATTTATAAGAAGCACTGTGTTTAGTTTTGAAAGGCTGGTCCTTCTAATCGCATCTTCGCAGAATCTGAGCAACATATTTCAGAAACGACACTTCGATGGCGGATTTTGAGTTTTCATAGTTTTTCTCAAACGCGACACCTGATATTTTCTTGGGTTGTCTCAGATCAGCCCAATTCCCCCTTGCCCAAGGGAAAATGCCCCAAAATTTTGGGTGTTGTATGGGGGACCGCTCATGGTCGTCGATCTCGGGAAAAGAATTTCAAATTTTCCTTAACCGTTTTGTTCAAGATTTTTCGAAGACTCCAACGGTGTATTCAAAAAAATTATCGGATGAAAACTGTAGAAACACTTCTTTTTTGAAAATTTACCGTGGACATTTTAGCAACAGTCGCTATCAACCGCCCGGGTTGATTGTCTAACACTGTGCAAGAAGTTTAGTGCATACTTGCACGGCGCATGGGGCTGTATATCATTGATTGGCCGCACTGTAAAAAATAGTGCCATCTTGAGCCGACGATACAGTATACGAACGACAGAACATAACTACCAACCCTCGTATTCATTATTTAAACGAATGTTCTGTAGCACACCCTGTAGTACAACCAGTTGCACAATATAGCCACCCGTATGCACAGCGCTATCGGCTTTACTGTAAGTGTAACCACATTTACGAAGTCCATTGTACATCCTGTAGTACGCTATGATGTATAAACCGTCACCCTGTAGTACACCTTGGCGTACATCCTCTAGTACAACTTGATGTAAAATCATTGCGGTTTTACCTAAAATCTGTAGCGCATCCTGATGGGAGCGGCTATGGCTATGATCGAAAAAGCCTAGAATTTTTGTATTTTCTCCCTTTTTTTAAAACCAGTTTATTTTTGCAACAAAAATGTATTGTACATTTTGTGTGTTTTTTGTACATTGGCGTTTATTTTTAAAAACGATGCACTAAATCTTGTCGCGTAAACATTATCATCCACATGAAAAGCACGACAACAACCAGTTTATAACGACACGACTAGGATAAATTAGACTGTCCGTCGTCGATATCAATCCGTGACGTTCATGAACAGGTTAAATTCACCAAAAACGCAATCAGCAGAAACCAAGACGTCAGAATGGTTTTTTTATAAAATAAACAAAAACCGATGCTTTAATTTAAAAAGTCAATATTTCATGCACATTGTTTGTATTGCCGCTAACGACACGTTCTGCATTTCCAGTATGCATTCAAAACTCAAAGTTCTGTGGGCAGTTAGGATTGTTGGTTAAGGCGAAATGGCGCGGGGATTGTTGGTTAAGGCGATACGCCATCATGTAGCTTACGTGTTACTGTATCAATGGTAATTTTTTTAAAAATCGTTACGGAGTACCCCAAGCACGCCATTTCGCCTTAAGGAACTGCTCATTGGTGGAGGGTGCGGTTTGTTATGCCGTTAGGTTTACGAGGAGCAATTTTCCCGTTAGCCGCGCGCGAAGTAAACGCTTACTTATGTACTTACTGTATTGGCTGCGGCAGAGAAAGGCGAAAGCGTGAGCGTGAACGAAGTTCTGCCTCTCCCACCGTTTTGATGTTTTTTTAATTTCACTGACTTTATTTAGTTTTAATACGTAACAATTATTGCTTGACTATTAACCGAAGGCGGAGCCGCAGGCGACGCCGAGCTGCGGCGCGAGGGAAGCTCGCGGAACAGCAAGCGAGACAGCCAATCTCGGGAACAAAAATATGGAATTTGGGAACAAAATACGAATACGAATAAGACAATTCGCAGTGTTCGACGTGGTCCAAACTTATTCGTGCGAATATCTAGAATTTATTGGTTAGGACTAAAAAGACGCATAACCCTATGCCCAGATATCCGTACGCATGTGCCATGTGGCAAGTGCCCTTGTACGACAACCGGATATTTTAGCTGAGTCGTACAGCGCACTGCGCTGCATGCGTTCCGAATGCTGTGCGTGGGATTATGCGTCTTTTTATTCCTAAGCCGTATAGTCTATGTACAATACTCGCAAAAAATAATTATAATCTGAAAATATGAACTGGATACCACTTAAATTAGCGCTTATCGCTTGATATTTACTGAAAAGTTTAAGTAATTTCAAATTATATCGATAGCAGAAAAATTGGCACACCGATTCCCATTATTTTACATTCTTCGGTAACTGACCGTTACTAACAGTAATGGTACGATCAATTTAAAACTGATAGTCTGTGGCAGAATTATATACGAGTGACGAAAGTGATGATGTTAGGCGGATGTGTTTTATTGCACACAGTATACCCATTTGGATAAAAATGTAAGAGAGATTTGTAGTATGTATTTGCATATTTTCTGTGGCAGTCTAACTTAAAAAGTCCCAGTTGTGTTTTAGCAGTTAGCAATAATCGGATCGACTCGTTTTCATAGAATGTTATCATTCACTGATCCAGCAGTAATGCTATTTATATGAGAGCTGACAAGCATAGTATAAGAAAACAGACAATTATTTCAAGCATACAATTAGCAACAAGCACACGCGTCGTCGTCCTCTAGTAATAATGTTTGCGTTTGCACACGAAGGTATGAAAACTGCACGGCTGTTTATAACTGCAATTTAGACATTAAAAGCAATTACAATTTCTTTTTAAGAACTGTACATACATGGTCAATCGTTATCCTTGTCCGTTCTAGGCGTAAGGATCTGGGAGAGCGGAGGAAGTGGGACTAGCTATAAACCCGTCCCATGGTGGCTTTGGTGCAGAACTGCACCCAAGTCTCTTTGGGTCGAAGGGTGTCAATGGTCCACACGAGAGGACTGTGGATAATGGATGGACGTTGTTGTGGTATCCACTGTATCCTATAAAACTAAAAAATACCATCAAAAATAATAGTTTTTTGGTAAACATTTTTAGTACAGTAACCCTATCACAAGACGATACTGTTTATGTAAACATGGCTGTACGTTGTCTCAATATTTATATTGATATTCTTGTGGTGGAATTATGCGGACTTACGTGTCAGTCCGCAATATGCCACAACAGCATCAGGGTGGTTGAACTGTTAACTAGCCCCCGGAAAAACGGTACCTAAAACTCGTATCAGGATTATCAATACATTACGTAACGCAAGTAGGAGGAGGGGGGAGTTTTTGAAACGTTACTGTACTGTTTATGATAAAAGGGGGAGGGTTCAAAAATGTCTTACATGTACAATTTATTCCAATCTGGCGTCTGGAGGTGTTTTTACTTTGTTACTTAGCGTTCAGCGGAAAGGATCTCAGCTTTGTTAGCATTGGTGACACGGGGAAAGGAGTATTCAAAGCTGTAAATTTTTGCGTTACGTAATTTATGGATGGTCCCTAACTAATTGCCATTAAAAATTTTCTTTAGCGCAACTAGTTTTTGTTATACGATTAATTCTTTGCCTGAGATATTGCTCCATCTTGATCTCGTATAATCCTCGTCTGGGTTGCTGGCGGATGCCGGCTAAATCATTGAGAAATAGGCGTAGCCGTCGTCATCAAAGTCCAACAGCGGTTTCTGCAAACAGCAAGCGCGAATAATTTGCAGAAATTCTTCAACATCGATTTTGATTGTCATTTAGATGGGTTTAGACGTTTATTGTACGGAAAGGATGTTGGGCAAATGTCACTTTACAAGCCAGTTTATCAATTTCTTGTATAAACTGTCGTGGCATTAAAATTGTAGCGGCATTGTCCGCGCGAATTTAATTCAACGAAGAATAAATATCGTAACATTTGCTAACAATAAGTTAATTCTTTGATTTTACGATATGTTTATACGATTTAAATATCTGAGGTCCACCTATGCACGTAATGCGTACCAACTGTGGCGTGGCGAGTCGTGATATGGAGCTTGTTAGCGCAGTGAAATCTGCATGAAGTATGCTGGATCCATACATCCAAATTCGGGCAGATAAGGACACAGGAGGAGACCTGCTTTTTAAACAAATTTGTTAAGCTGTATACTATGCTTGAAAGTTGAAACTATTCAAGTAGCGACAAATACACATTCACGAGTTATGCCAAACTCCATTTTATGGCGCGCTACACCGCACTTTTTATGATCCATATGCATTTTGCATCGACGATGCAGATATCAATCCAGATTATAAAAATCCATACAAAGTGTTTATAAAACATTTCTCTTTCATAATTGTCTTGAATTTCGAGAGAAATGAAATTATCATTTTGATAGACACAGTGTACCGGCAACCGCTCACAGCACAACTTCGCGCTAAATTCTTGCTACCGGCACCTTGTAATCGTTTCCAAATACAAGCGGCAAATTTCAAATGTATAGAAATCTATGAGATTACAAAGAGTAAAAAGATTGTTTCAAATGAAATGAATACGCCTCGTCTGAAATTTTGATTTTGATTAAAATTAATGTTTCTTGCCGACCATCATTTTTTGCCTACTCGTCTAGCACGACGGCTACTACGTGGTAGTATTATTGGGCTGTGGCGGAACTAATGTTAACTGGGCGCCATTACTGATTAGTGTTTTAAAGAAGCAACAGTTCTCGTACATATCCAATAAAATAATAAATTATTATTTTAATTTTTCCAATAATTTTCAACAAAATTTGATGTTTTGTTCTACGCCATTCTAAAAATTTGCTAATGTGTTGTACAAGTTCTCTCTGTCGAAGTCTCTTATTAGGGTTCTTCACCCGCCTGATCTGTTTTTTTTTTGTTTAATCAGCTTACTGTCAACAACAATCAGGAAGACTTTCACAAGGTCATAAACTAACACAGAAGAATAGACTTTCATACGAAAGCCGTACATAGATTGAAACTACAACAACAATGCGGCAGAAAACGACTTCACGGTCAACGACTTTCAAACTTTTGTGGCATGAGTCACTTCATGCGTTTTTATGCCACAGATTATTCACCCGTTACTGGGACGGGCCTGTACAATGGACGGCACGAAAATTGTCGTTAGCCGCTCTCGGCTTACAGCGCATACGATGAAAGAGTGCCGCATATGTAACGCTATATGCCTATTGCATATAGCGGCTAATTACTTTATCGAAATGGCTACGCGCGAGAATATCGCGCGCGTAGAGGTTTTACTACGCGCGAGAGTTTCTCACGCAAAGTCAAATGAGTACGCGCGCGAGTTAGCGAAATTAGAAAAATATAATGGGTTTATGAATAAGCAGTAACGCGGCAAGCAAAAACCAGTACCATAACAACCATGGTCATGCAATTGTCCGAATAATTTCTAGGACGTAAAATTGTGTCTTATACCGGTACTATGTATTAGCCGGCATAATTTCGTCTTACAGTACAGTACTAGCCGGCACAGTTAAGCTACCTACCGGTGCTCGTAACGGTTTTGTGTGTGTTTTACTTGTAAATTTGTACTATTTACTCCTCTAAAATGGACTCGACTTTGTTAGAAACTGGCGACCGCTTAATTTCCTACGAAGCAGCTGTACTGGGGAAAACTGACCAATTAGGTCTTCGTAAACCCAGGAGGAAACGCCCGGACATCGAAAACTCCGTCTGGGCGAAACGGCTTCCATACGAGCACAGCGACTGATGGCGCCCTTGCCTCCTGGTCAAAACGAAATCGTGAGCGAATACGGCATCACCCCGGTTCTCACAGAAGACATTTCAAACCTAAACCGCTATGGCTCTGAGCTGGCGCTCCGGCGGTTAATCGCTGGGACCTATCATCTACAAGAAGCTTTCCCACAGCGACGAGGGTTGGAATCGCCAGCGAAAACTGCTATTTGCCAGCCAAATGACTATTGTTTTGTTTTGTGCGGACATGCTTCCAGCGAAACATGGTCAAGGATATTGTGCAGTCACTTTTCAACGGTGTAAATCACAATAACCGTGTTGCGATGACTCTCAAACCGTCACATATCACCGATGCTTATCATCGCAAGTGCTATAAAAATGGCAAGCGGTCTGAATCAGACCCATTTTTGTGTGATAACCGTTCGCTGTTTAGCTCTGCATCCCTGTCCAATTCGCCTTTTTGAACCGATAGGTCCTGATCACCTGGTCACCTCTCTACTTCCTATCAAAAGACACAGGAGAGGCAGAGTTGGTCAGACTGGTCAAAATGCATATGGTCCAAGTTGCCAGTGCCACATGAATGGGACAGTCTACTTCCTTTCTTTTACTACTTTTCTGTATGTGATGGTGCTGATTATATGTGATTTCGTTTCGCAAGGATCTGGTAAAAAGAAAGCCAGAGATGCTTTTTCATATCACGCGGCAGCGGTTGTGATGTGACGGTCGTTCTGTGATAATGTGATATGTGATAAGATCGCCGCAACACGGTGAATGTCTGCGCGCTATACGATTGCATGAAACCGGACGCCGTACGAATCTACTGCTCCACGGGGCAACAGCCAACAGATCTGCTAGAGTTACAGATGTTTTGATTGTTCTGCTTCCCAGACTCAAATGGACAGGCCGAAATCGAATACGTCCCTATTTATGGAGAGTCGCCGGCAAGCAACAGTTGCTTGACTGATGCATTTGCATTTGCTTATGATTTGCTGCTCCGCAAAACCATCCACCAAACTGCGAATTACAGCCCTGACTGAGAATTTTTGGGAATGGTTTCGCGAAATCATCGCTGCGGGAGTGTCAAAGCAACCGCCATCAGCTCAGGGACGAAATGCCCGTACTTAGACGGTGATCACCTTTCAAAGCATTCGCGTTTCCGCAAAAGATGCCGAAGCGTTGGAGAAAGCAGTGAAGCTGCCGGCTACGCGAAGAGATACTGTTATTTACATGTGAATTGTGACTGAGAATTATTACCCGTGATGCTGCTGCATTAAATCGTAATTTAGTATGGCTTTGTCGAATATTGTTTCGTCTATCAGCATAAAAATCAAAAACTATCGTGCGTAGCTGATTCGGTACTCGTACAGTTTTACTACCGGCGAGAGCTCTCGCGCGTAGTCAAATTACTATGCGCAGGAGCTCTCGCGCGTAGACAGAGTGCTACGCGCGTAGACCTGACCTTACTTTATGTAGCTACCGAAATACTTTCTACGTAAGTAAATGGCTGCAAATCGAAATTCCTAAACAGCGGAATAGATAAACAGCTCGGTATCTCAAATGAATGCAGAGTACACACTACACAGCAAATTCCGAGGTGACTTCGTAGTACTTCATAGCTGAATAGACAGAATAGTGGTTATCGACCGAGAACTATCGACCAACCACGCAAAGCAGTCTGGTCAATCTTAAGGTTAACCAAAGCCATTAGAATATACAAAGCCTGAAAGCTGATCTTATCAGCTTAACGAAGCTCCGCTGAGTTCGCATACGAGTCTACGGAGAAACGGCAAAAATTCCGCTGCCCAAAATGTCCAGATTTTTTGTCCGGTGACCACATGAAAGATAACCTTATTGAATTTTCGACGCACTGATCAGGTGTTCTTTTTTAACACTTCGACGACCTGTTGCTTAGCAGTTTTGAGCTGCCAACTGAAGTTGCCAATTGAAGGTGTTATTTTGCGGAAGTAATAACAACCGAAATAGATTTTTGAAACCTTTTTTTTCAGACACGAAGCTGTGTACGTATTGCTCAAATGACTCAAGTTCTTTGGAGCATTTTTTGGACAAAAATCAACCCATCTAGAAAAAAAACAAATTTTTTGACACCGGAAGTTACTTTTATTTATTTTTTTTAAACAAGATGCGCAAACATTTCTCATAAAAACTCTTCACAGTACTTTTGAAATAATTTTTCTTTAGCCTGATCAAAGTTAAAAATTTTCTGAAACCGTAGCGAAGTCTTATTGATTTTAGAAGTTGTTTTTCAAAATTGTTCAGGATGGGACGAAGAACCTTCTTTTGTACTGCGCTTTTCTTTGGTCTTACCGATTCTGCGCATGTAATGCCGCCACACTAGATTGTGTGCACACCGAAGAGTGGACTTCGACCACTCTTTCATGTGCGCTCGCGGGACAGCGCTATATCTTTCCATTGTCTAGCGTCTTTGTCATGCTCTATGCCTCACTGTGTAAACATGAGCCTTTAATATCTGCTCCTATCACACTTGCAAGCTGGCATGGTAATGATGGTACATATACAGTATAACAACCACAAGGCATCTTCCAGAATGAAAGAAAGCCCTCTTGAAACAATCTTTCTTTCAATGATTTTGACCACAGGTGGCAGTAGTGTAGAAAGATACGCCAGCCCGCCAAATCGCTCCTCGTCCGCAACGAAAAAACTTGAATAACTTTTTTCACGGCTATTACCTAATTTTACTCAACTTCCGCCCAGTAATAGATGTAACCCTTGTTATTAATACACAACTTTGAAAATTCCATATTTTTCGATTTTGCTACCATGGTATAAATTCTCATTAACGGATGCGCAGAACAAAGGCTGTTCTAGGCATTGTTCAACTGCTCGACTTGCCACCGCGATCCCGGAACTTTTCTTTTCAATTTATATAAAAACGGTGTATGAAATATTATATTTTGTTAATTTACTTATGACGCATATTAACTTGTGGAATAGTACGACTGTCCAATTTCCTACCACACAGATGTCGTTACTCGTTGGGAACATAACATATTATTAACAGTCATTAGGATGTGGCTTACGATGCTGTTGTTTGAATTTCGAATATTGCGAGTAGTGCTGTAGTCAGAGAAGGCCTCTTAGCTGCCTGTGCTCTTTCCAATCTATTCTCTGTGAATAAAATCTGAATTCGAAAATATCTGAGAAATTTCATAATTCCCAGCGATCTAAGAAATCTGAAATTTACACCTGCTAATATAATTACTATTATTATTACTATTACGGCACAAGAGCAGACAACCCTGAACGGCCCGGCCCGCAGGGACTTCAAGTCTGGTCGAATAACGCTAAAACTCAGAATAAAAACATAAGAAAGCATAAGAAACCTAACGAATCAAGGAAATTTAAAACGGTGACAACATTATGAATACTTTAAGCACTCTAATTAAAGGATTTCGACAAACTATGCACAAAAACTTAAATTTTTGGGAAACAGTAGCACGCTGAAATGTCCCTATGCCCAAAATGGCTGGACACGAAATTCTCAGCAGATATTATGGACAACTGTGGACTTCGGTACATTATCGCATTATTTATTTCGCGTAATTTATCGCGGGGTCTGCTAGCAGCTTAATAATACTCATTTTATTGGCGATACCCACCCGATTAACAAAAGTTGCAGACGCTGGTACATATTGCTAATACATACATGTACATATTGCTAATATTTAACGCGAAGTGGCTAGCAACTCGGTCCTTTTGCGTAAACGGGCATACCGTCGACGCGTTACACTTTTAGACAAAACCCTAGCATATCACACATAAAGAAATGGTTTTTGTACTTTAAAATAGGTTCAATAATAGTAACGCATGTTGTTGCTGAGAAATTAGCGTTTAAAGTGAAAAATTTGAAGTTGATTTTTACAGAGTACAGATCTGAAAAAAAATATTCAGAAACGGCCATTTTATAGAGTAAAGTATTAGAAGCTTATTATACGGACAGAATTTTTATTGATAAAAAACAGAAAAGGAAAAAAATCGGGGGTGCCAAAGAAGTACTTGGGACACTCTACTCCTGGATATATTTGACCATATCTGCTGAACAGAACCCTGAACAGAGATTCTGTCCGTATCACAAGCTCAGGTTGCGGTACTTTATTTAATGCGATTTTATTCGTAATTTTTTGCAAATAAATGTATTTACAGCTGATTTTCAAAGTTTTTTTTACGTTTTGTTCACTGTTAGCTTGCAAAAGTACACCTCTTTCACGGCTTTGGTGCCGGTACCGAGAGATGCTGGCTGCCGCACACAAAAGCACATGCACATGTGGAGCAACGCAGAACAGGCAGGCAGCCATATAACATTCATGCAGACTGATGCAGTCATAGACGCTAAAACAAAAGACTGCAATCAGACGGCAGATTTCTGAGATTTGCGTTTATGGCGTCTTTTGTTTCTCTTTCTTGTCAACAAGCTCAACAAAGCTGGACGGGGCAGTGGCAGATTTTGATCGCACCTGATTGCGATTATTTCAATGCCAACCACTGATGTCGGTGGTGATTTAAGGAATATGCCATCACTCACAATAAGTGCGGCGCAACCCATTATTTTGCGGTTCACCTTACGTGCCCCCCTCTACCACTCGTACAACTTTAATTTTTTGCTTGTTAACAAAAAAATATATACTCATTACGGTTATCGCTTTATGTAGTATAAAAAACGCTCTATAAGATGAGCTAAGGTAATTTTTGGGAATTATTTTGAAAATTCGCTAGCCACTTCGCGTTAAATACCTGAATACCAAGATACCTAGAGTACACAACACTAGTAAAGATCAAAAAGAAAACAACACGTTGGCCGCATTTGTAATATTTGTAATTTTTTATTTTGAACAACTGGGCAAAGCTTTGTGTTTTTCAAGCTCAGCTTTTTCGTAATGCTTCTACAGCTGGTCCTGTTGCGTTTTTGGCATTTATTGTTTTATTTTGAAACATTGACAAATTGTTTTGTTAGTATTCATGTTGTAATCTTGTTTATTGCTCCATACCCTTAAACACAACTGGTCGCAACCAATGCTTGTATGAGTTTTATCATATTGTGTGTACGAGTATGTAATCACTACTTGCAATGTATCAATGTATCACTACTTGCATCACTGTATGCTTGTATTGTGCAATAATTATATTTAACTTTTGCTCGTATACGAATAAACCGTAGTACGGATCAAAACCTGTGGAGTATAAATACATACAGCATGTATATATACTACAATTATGCTATAGGCACTGATGTGTTGGCACCGGTGTGTGGCTTTGCATTGATGTGTTTTATTCATGACTTTCTTCCTGTGGCGAATTCAAGAAGGGGGCACACGAACACGGAAGAGGGGGACAAGGGACACGCCTTCCCGGAATTTTTTCAAAATTAATACTTCAAAAAAGTAAAGAGGGCAGTAATGTTGATCGATTTTGCAAAAAATCGAGAAAATTACAATTTTTTGTTGAATTTTCAACGATTCTCTCCGTGGAACCGACAGTGTCACTTTCTCGCTCCGCACGAAAGTGGCTTTTATTGCAGCTTAATAAATGAATTTAACATCCATGAGTGAAATATACCTAGGCCATGGTCTGTATATATACAGACCATGCCTAGGCGGAGAGGTCGTCATATTCTACAATGTACTCATATGCTACTGAATTGTTAGTAAACCATGCTCCAAGAAGTGCATTAAAAAAGCTTTATAGTAATTTACGATTGTTTATAGAATTTCTAGCGATCCCTGCAATGAAAACATGCGTCGGCTTCGCGCTTGGCGTGAATGTTTACCCTTTCTGTAAACATTTTTAATGATACACCCTTTAATGGTTGCCCTTAGCTGCAAAAAAATTGGTATTATCTATTTTGACTAAATTGTTTTAAACGATACTCTACCAATTTTTGCAGCGAAATCGCTCGTTGGCCGGCTAGCAGTTCGGTATTTTACAGTACACGAATATTTGTTGAATAAATTCTCACCAGTAAGTACAGACTGTACGTACGGTCAGGCTCACAATGTTGAGTTTTATCATTGTCCTTACTTTGGTGGCAGTCCTTGTTGTGTTCCGAAGTGGGCAATCCCAGCGGCAACCCACGCTGGACATGCGTGTTGCATTAGGCTGCACTCTCCCGTCAAGCAAGCACTGCTGTTCGCGTTTACCGTAATATATCGCATCTGTCACGAAAAAGTATTTTCGTCAGAAAATGGTGTATGAATACAAATATCCTTACAGTTATCAACGATTGGCATATTGTTATAAACTGTAGTTTACATTACATCTATACTGTACATTACGACTACACTTACAGCGGTACAAGACTGCCGACTCTGTTTCACAAAATGCGGTAACATCACAGTTTTGCAACAGTAAATCAAAATAACAAAATTTCATTTAATGCTGCCGCTCCTTCCATTGTACCGAGAACGGAAGCAGCGTTGCCTCGCTGAATTACAAGACTACAAGACTACAAGTAAATACAAGTACAAGACTACAAGTAAATCAACATCAATCCACTAAATTAAATTTTTAACACAAAGGAGGGTTGAAAACACACCACAGCGGCGCTATCGCGCACCGGAATTAAGGAAGCAAGCAGCGTCCAAAAAGAAAATTCAACAAGAAACAAAAATCCCAGGTCACTTATACAAGCATGTACATTCTTTCAGAAAGTATAAGTCGATGTATCGAAAGATACAATCCAGGTCGGTCAACAACGAGTTTTGGATAATATATTGCACGTTTTGCCGCAGGCAACAATAAACTTGTTATGGTCTGAGAATATTGTATCGAAATTTTCACACTCGATTCTCTCGACACAGCAGTATAACACGTTTTTCTGATCGCGAGGTGAATGTTTTCTACGCGGCTGTTATTGAAAAGTGCGTGCCATGTACTCAGCCGTGTATCAAGTGCTGTGTGTCATTTCGCCGTACTTACTCGTCCACCTTTTGGTTTACTAATAATTATTATAGGAACAATTGTACAATGTCATACGGACATGCATTCCTGAGGGCCTTTACGAGCACACAGCTTTTCAACAGCCTAATCATTGTGTACACACTATACCTCCGCTCGAAAGCTAGCACATTCGTACATGGCACACACATTAATATATTCGACAACAATAATGTGAATACCGTATAAATACAGAATATTAATTGCATAAAATGTTAGAGAGAGAACCTGTTCCGACTGCTGGACGGCCAGAATGTCTAAAATTCGATACATATGAAGTATCCCGATTATTAGACCACGACTATTGCCTTAGGTCATGACTCACGAATCTCATTCAGTATTGCAAACCTAACATGTAAAACCAGTTCAAGACTTAACCACTGCCAAAACTATAATATTATGTCAATTGAAAACGTTTATACCATTGAAAAATTCCTTCTGGTACAATTGATAATACAGTGATTCAGTTCTTTTTAGTTTTACAGTCTAGTAACTTAAATTAAAATCTATCTAGTAACTTAAATTAAGGTGAAAATTCGGTAAATAATTGCTTCATCTCAGTATTTTCTGTTATACTTTCATTTAATGTGTCACAGTATAACCTACTTTATAAAAAAGTCCGGTTGAAAAACAATCACCCATTCAAAAACTAACTGGGATAAACTGCTCCGGACCCGTGTGGTGAAAGTGTTTTCTTTCCCCTGAATAGGATGTATGGCTCGCAACTGCTCTCTAACCGCTCTCTGTTCTGTCATGTCTGTCCAGAAGCACAAGTTGCACAACGCCGCACAAGACGTGGCCGCTTGCGCGCGCAGGCTGTAGTCAGGCAGACAGTCTTTCTGCATTCACTTCAATACTGTTAGCATGTTATTTATTTCAGGGTATTAATGTTTGTTCCATTACTGCATTAATATGGTTGTGTATGGTTCATTCATTTACTTCTTGAATGTTTCAAAATCACACCAAAGCAAAAGTGCAAAAAGAGCGACAGAAATCAGTCCACTCTGAGAGAAGATATAGCAATTTAAAAATTTTAAAATCGAATTAAGAAAAGCCGAAAATTTTTTCAAAAAATCTGTAACGTACACTTTTTACTTTATGTTATAAGACGTAACATGTTCGCTCAGGGGGTATCGAAAATGTGAAGGAGTCGAATGCAGTTCGAAGAAAACCTTTTTGTTTACTGACCGGTGTTTACTGCGAGTCAATCGGTGTTGTGCTGGTCATGGCACACCTTTGGGTAGTAAAACCATTCTGCTCTTTGGAATCAGAAAGAATGCCGTAATAGACTGATGCACCAAAGAATAAATGCGTCGTAACCAACATGCTCTATAATTACCGTATTTTCACCTTAAACGACCCCGTCCAGAATCATAAAAAAATAGTCTTTATTGCGATTCTTCCGTACTTATTGCGTATTTTGCTAGGCGCGCAGATCTATATTTTATCGCATTACAATATCGGACATAAAGCAGGAAGAGGTCAACACACAGTTGCTAGCAAACCCGCTCAAATTGCGCGGAATAAATAATGCGATGAACAAATCATAACCAAGTGAGGGAATATGCCCTGACGCTGGCGTGCACTGCAAACCAAGGGACTGAGGCGGCACATGCGTGAGATGATCACATATCGAATGTTTTTACGTTGCCAAAGTCCGCAGTTGATGATAATAATTTCTGGAAAATTTCGCTTTCACTTTAATTGACTGCAGAGATGGCAGAAGACCTGGAATGCGAAATTTTTCTCCCAAAGCCGGATAAATTTTCTCATTAGTTTCCGACCCATTTCTTTATTTCCGGATCAGTCATGAATCGGTTGAAAATCGTGCAGTTGGTGATAGAACTTTTTTAATTTATTTTTAAAAGAACTGGTTCCCTTCTTGTCTTTTGTCATTCTGCTATCTTTCAGGCTGCAAATTATCCGACAACAGCTTACTAACTTTAAATCCTATTTTGACCGCGAACACCACTGCTGCCCTTTGTATCCCAATTTAGCA